CCGTGCCCCCCGGTTTCCCAGATGTGCAGTGGTTGACGCAGACGCGTTAATAACTGCGCTTGCGGTGCCCACGGGGAGCACGGCTCACTACAAGCTTCTAGAATGTTCCAAAGACTTTCTGCACGCGGTCTGTGGTAATTTGCGCCAGTCGGCTGTTAAGGTTTAAGTTTCCGGCGGATGTATTTGGCTCAGAGTCGCATCCAGTACAATCTCACAAATTATATGGTCACATCACGTCACGGGACAGGTGGGGTGATAAGTAACAGCGTCACGCCGGCTGCATTTTATCATTTCTAAACAGGACATCCGCCGGCTTGTCGTTGCGGATTAGAAATTGTCTGTGCTCGTCTTCCCAACCGTCCGACTGAAGCCAGACACCGTGTCAATACCAGGAATGGATCACGTTTTGTGGATCTTGTGGCAAAGACTCGGGTGTTTTCAGGAACTTGGACTCATTATGGCATTTGTAGAGTGGTCTCCTGAGCTCCCGGATGCGTCTGAAGATTATGGATACCCTTTTTAGAGGTTTGGATCCTTATCATAAATTTGGTGAGGAATCGTTAGGTTTTGGGGGGAGTTGTAGGACGCATAATTGTTTTTGAGTTGGGTGGTGATTGCGGTCTTGGAATTTTTTGGGCACAGGCAGCCATTCATTTGTTCCGGCAATATTTCACGAGTAAATCTTCGTCAGCGCTTCCAATGTTGTTCCAAGTCAATGGACCGGAAACCATAACCTAAATATGCCCTCGTAGTGGCGACACTGCAGTTGGTGGCCCAAATAAAGCATTTGTGGTGTATTATGTACGACAGCGTATCACTTTTGAGTGAGTGATGAGTCATGATCGAGTGCTGCCCGATTTGGGTCATGCCTGAAATTCACAGGGTAAAAACTTCACTTAAGCCAAAGGCCTGTGAGGAATGCTCAAGGATACATCATTTTTTTCGGTTGCAGGTCTGTTTGTAGATTTATAAGTCCAGGGATGCTGGATTGTTTGTGTCTTCTTCCAGAGGATCTTGCATTGCAGATTTGTTAAACATTTTCAAAACGGCCTCCCAGAAGGATGATTTTCCAAGGAGAATGACAAGCATTCGAATTGAAGTAGAAATGTTCGGTCAATATTAATACATGCGTTAGCCATGTTGTCAGCTGTGCATTGAGCAACTTTCATCACAGGCCTTAATTGTGAAATTGAAACACCAACAAGCTATCAGGTCATGAATTAAAGTAAGACAAAGGGCTCGAAGTAAATGTAAGGCACACATCTGTAATAGCCACACGGCCTGTTTGCTAAGTGGAAACTAATCAATATTCAGCTTCCAAATGTTGCTCTCTAAGTGCCCACCGGCTCGAGAGTTTTAATGCATTCTAGAAGTTGCAGAAAACCTGGTCTGGCGGCCACCGTTCGTGCCAAATGTTCGTACATTTGCCGATATCTTGGATGAGCGCTGCGGTAATGTACGTGACCCGTGGCTTTCCTGAAGTGATTCTAAAACGTACTTGCGAAAATCCTGCGCGCTACTGCCGTAGCAACGGCCGTAGCAGCGGGCTTGGTTCATAAAAAAACAATCTTATTATTACGATCATCACCCGTCTCGCCTCGTAACCTGTATTCCTGTAGCCTGTATTCACTCAATCTGTGCACGCAATAGCCTCTCGCGTTTTCCCGAGCGGAAAGCCTAGTCAATGCGTGCCATCTCCGATGTGGCTCACCTTTTCACAGCACCGGAAACTACCACAACTGCGGTCCATTGACACAGTCATTGCGCGTGCGGGTGTTATTAGTGTTTATATTTCTATTATGTAATCAAGCTTCGTGGCCGAAAGTTCGTTTCAAGACACATGTTATTAAACGACCAAGACATACACAATCGTGGAGAGGATGCAATTTGCATTCCGTTTAAATGGTTATTATCCTATTGTATTTCATACTTTATCAAAACACCAGTTGATTGGCCTCAACGAGATCTCGCGATTGGTACTACTTCGTATGCTGTTAGGTAAAAAATTGACCTTATGCCGAGTCAAACGAAAATTTCTTTTCAGATAATCGCGTTTTAGCTTAACAACGTCACACATCCAAGACCATGCATCGTGCTTCTTTAAATCCAACAAGGCATGTTCCTTGCTTAATTCTGAGTACAATATTGTATTGTTTTGTTTTTGAGCATGTATTTGCGATACATGACTCCATTAATGTAGCATTGTCGGTCCGCCGCCCGCGCCGGTCGGAGATCGCCGTGCAGAGTTCTTAAAAAGCCGCCGGTGCCTCGAAACTGTAAAGCTAGGACCACGTTTTTTTTTTGCTGTTGAAATAGACAATGGATGCCCCATAGGCTACGGAAAATTTTTAGCACGATTGCACAGCCTGCCAAGAAGGTACCTTCAAAAACCTTAGAGGGGTCACATCGACCCCCTCCCCCCCCCCCGCCGCCTTCAGGGCATGGGCTAAGCTGGCCCAATCCGTCAGCCATGCTGAATGAGTGCCCGTGGTGTTTGCCATCCCACTTAAGCGTCAAGTTTCCCCAATCTAAGTGCATATCAGTACGGCAATTTATTACGGGTCGATAGCATATTTTACTGGCATGTCAACCGGCAACTCCGAGATAAACAGACGATTCGTGTGAGGTAAATGTTAAGAAACAGCACGTCACAAAAAGTATGCGTGGCCTGAATCATGAATTCGAATAAGTGCTCACTCGTTTTGCACCAAGTCAGGCTAATCCGTGTCACATTCGGTTAAGAATGAGACTGCCAGTTCTGCAATACGTGCGCGGTTGTCCGAGTCTTAGTGTAGTGTTCAACTCTTAGTAAATAATTCATTCCGTAGGTGTGAGAGCTGAAATCGGCGCATGCAACAAAACATCAGGGCCAACTGTAATTTAGGCAATGAGAAGACGGGGATTATGTGATTGTGCTGGGCTTACCTAGGTAACAAGTTAACTTGTTATTCATGCTGTTTTCGACCTGTCTGCGCCTAAGGCTTAGATATGTTTTGCTGTTCCAGTCCAATTTAGGGTTACTGCTGATTTGGCGTGCGCGGTAGTTTTCTATGCGCAGTGGTAGACATTCGAACCAAATCTGACGCCTGCCCTGCGTCTCGGAGTCACGAAATGCTCGCTCCGAATCCGGTCGTATTAAGGCTTGGGGTGAACAAGGCCAGTCTTGCAGGAGAAAGGGCGTGGGCGGCACGCATGTTCAGTTAATCAGCCACTCGCTGGTCTTCCCAGTTAGTCCGGGTCGATGGCTGGTTTAGCTTGGCATCTTCATCTTCCTTTCCCTCGAATCCACCTCGTACCCTTCCACACCGCAGGATGATGGCATGCATTTTCGCACATGGTGCATCTCGGAACTTCGCGATGACCTGAGACGAATCCGGCCCTGTTAGCCGGCTGGCCGGTTATTGCCGCCAGTCGATGCGTCCTCCACGCTGATGACCCCAGTTCCTCCGCGGTCAAAGTAAAATATGCCAAAATATGCCATCTGGGCGCCATCCAGCGCCCCAATTCAAGCCATAACAGGCCATTTTTTGAATGGCCGGTTATCTCCGCCAGCCGGCGCGTCCTCCACGCTGACGGCCCCAGTTCTGCCGCGGTCAAACCCTGCCGCGGTCAAACTCCCTCGCCAGCGTTCTCACCCCAGTTCTGCCGCGGTCAAACCCTTCCGCGGTCGAACCCCCTCCCCAGCGTTCTCCCCCCAGTTCTGCCGCGGTCAAAGTGTGTGTTTCTGTGGGCTATCCGGCACCCCGACTCAAGCCATGAAAGTTTGCTAATGAGCTGGTCCTCGAGTCAGACATAGCTAATTACACACCACATACGTTGACTTACGAACCAAATGGGTTTGTCAATAAAAAAATACACCGAAGAAATACTAGTTTTTTCTCGTGAATGCGTTGCTTGCCTGGTCACTCGTCACAAGACGAAGGAGGACTTCTTAAGTTATAGTGGCATGCCTTCGGCACGTGAATTTTCTTTTTGTATTTATGTTCATTTAATTTTTGAGTCGTACGTTAACATGTCTTGGGCATCACGACAGCGTTATATAGTAACATGTCCTGGGCATCACGACAGCGTTATATAGTAACATGTCCTGGGCATCACGACAGCGTTATATAGACAACTGGGTCTTGGTCGCGTGGTCGGGCACGGCAGCGGCCGCAGCGGGAGGTCCGCATCTGCTTCAGGCGGGCGGCGCGGCGCGGCGCGTTTGACCGTCAGAGCGGCGACTCCCCAGGTGAGGCGGACTGCGAGGGGCGGGGGTGGCCTCCAGCCGGGCGGAGGTGACCCCCAGCCCGGCCGGGCGGGCTGCGAGGGGCGAGGGTGGCCCTCCAGCCTGGTCGGTCCGCTGCGGTGATGTGACGCATCACACGCAGTTCGGATCGCTTAACAACACCTCCTAGCCAAGCAAGTGGAGCTGGCCGGGGTCGAGCAGACATCTCTGGATGTCATCGTGTCAGTTGAATTCGCTCGCCCGACGCTTCGTCGCCAGCCACGCTCCCACACCATTGAAGTGCGATGCTGGGGCTTGACAGTCGGCGCCGCCGCGGCGCGTTCGCTCGCGGCGCGCGGCATGCCTCTGGACCGGTGCCTCTTGTGCCGCAGGTTCACCGGGACGCCGCAGCCCGCCGTCGCCCCGCTCCGCCGAGCGCCGCCTGCCGCCGCCGGCCAACCTCAGCGTCCCACCGCCCGGCTACGGAGGCCCGGCGCCCTACGGCAGGTCAGTGCTTCTCGCGCGCGCGCGCTCGTCAGCCCTCGGCCGACTGCCGCCAGGGGCTCGTAAGGCCGGCGGCCGCATGAGCTCGTGTGCTGGGGCGCGGCGTTTGCGCTGGGGCGGAGCGGCTGCTGCGTGGCGGCCGCACATCGAGGGGTACGCTTGACTGTACGCTTGGGCTTGTACTGGCTTGGGGCGTCGTGGTCGGCCGTGCACGGGGCGTGGCTTGGGGCGCGGCGTGACGCGTCTCCGGCACGGCGCTTGTTCTGAGGCCGCTCCGCTTGGGTTTCAGCGGCGCGGGGAGTAGCCTGGCCAACAGCTTGGCGGCCATCCTGCCCAGGTGAGTGCTGCTGGGCTGGAGCTCCGCGCGCCCGGCGCGGGTCACCGCGCGCAGGGCCGTCGAGCGGCTCCGACGACAGCTGCGTCTCCTGTTCGAATGCGGGTCCAGTGACCCTCGGCATAGCCCCGCGGTGTAGCCGAGGAGCCGCGCGTGGCGGTGTGGCATGACAGATGTGGCGTGCTTTCAAAACATTTTTCATTTTTTATGTCGTTTGTTATTTCATTTCATATGTCGAGGTTATCGCTAGTTTTCACTGTATCGTGGAAGAATGGTTATTCCGGCAGCACTGTCGCATCACTTTTCGTTGTCACTTTCCAGCTGTGCTTGTTCTCGCCACCGTGTCCCACGCGGTGTGACGCCGTGTCTGCACCGTTGACCACACGCTCCATGGTCTGCCCCACCCGCTGCAGTGACGGCGTGTTCCGTGCCCTGACCCCTTGCCCCATAGTCGGATCCTCTGCCAGTGACCTGACGTCCGCGCCCAAGTGTGACCCAACACCGGCCAGACTGACCCCTTGCCCGCAGTCTGACCTCGTGCCCCGCGTGCTGACCCGATAACCGCCGGTCTGACCACGTGCTCCCGTCGACAGCGGCCCAGTGGACGACCCGCTGGCCGAGTTCAACCGGCTGATGCTGCAGAAGGACCTGCGCGACGGCCGCGCCAAGCGGCGCTCGTTCTCGCCGCGCGGCCGCTCTTTCTCGCGCTCGCCGGCGCTGCGCGGCGACTCCCGCTCGCGCTCGCGCTCGCCGTCGCGTGGCCCCGTCAAGAGGCGCCCGTCCAGGTACGGCAGCGCCGCCGGAGCAGGGTGGCGGCGGCTGGGCTGGCGTTTGGTCGCGGGAGGTGCTCACCGCGCAGGGGGGGGGGGGGGGGGGGCGGTGGGCGGTGCAGTTCGGTTGGCGTGCGCTGGGTTGCCGTGCTGGGCGGAACGCAGCGGGGCCCGCTCGTGTGTTGTCGCCAGTGTAGCGCCGCGATGTAAGCGAGGTGCCAGCTCTTCGTCGCTCTTCGCCGAGCGCGGCCACTTTGGTGGCGGCGACAAGTAGGTCACTGATTGCCTGACACAGGTAGTGCGCCGAACGCCAGACGGCTGCCCCTTTGAGCTAGGTTTGCGCCGGCCGCTCTCGTGTGCTCGGTGCTGGCGTGCAGCCGCCGACGTGACGTGACGGTCCGCGTGACGCGTGCCGGTGCGCCGCAGGTCGCCGCCGCTGCGCCGCCGCTCGCTCAGCCGCTCGCCGCCGCCGCGCCGCTACAGCCGCTCGCCGCCGCCGGCGCGCCGTCTGACGCGCTCGCCGCCGGCGCGCCGCGCCAGCCCGCTACCGCCGCCGCGCCGCAGGTGCGTCCCGCCGCCGGGAGGGGGCGGCCCGCAGACGGAGTCCCCCGGGGAACGGGGGCGGGCAGACGCTGGGACGGACCGACCGGCCGACGGGCAGACGTCATGGCTATACAATCATGCTGTCCCGGGGACCCCGGTTGTTGGAGCGAGGAAGGAGTGGGCTCACTTGGTCTTCTTTCAATGGCCACGTATAGACAAGACGGAGAAAGCATTCAGCCTGATGGGTAGGCGCGTGCTCTGCTGTGCCTTGGCGGTCTGTCGCAATGATGTGAGGCTGCTCCCAACGCTCGCTCCGTAAGCTTGTCATGTGCTGGCACGCGTAACACCCTCGTTGCGGCGACGCCCGGCGGCCGTCCCCGGCACCCGACTGACCCGAGCCGCCGTCGCCCGCAGGCGGTCGATCTCGTTCTCGCGCTCTCCGTCGCCGCGCAAGGGGCCGCGCCTGTCGCCGCCGGGCCTGCGCCGGCCGGCCAGTCCGCCCGACGGCTACGGCGGCGGCCGCGGCGGTCCGGACCCCGCGTCGCCGTGAGCCCCAGCCCCCCCGTACGCCGGGACGCTGACCCCGCCAGCCCGTACAGGTACGCGCCCGCCGGCGTGCCCTCTTTCTCTCATGTTTTATTCTCTGCTTTCTTCTCTGCAGGTGCTAGTGCTCAATGCTGTGCTCCTGGAAGTCAGTTACCGATTGCTTCCTACAGCACCGCTATGTGCGTGTTTGTCGTGACCAGCATGGGTGATAATGACAACGGCTTGCCGATCGACTTGGTTTATTTAATTACAACATGGTTGTCGTCAGTTTGTTCCTTAATTATGACACCGACCGGATCTGTTCGTGTTCTCGGCGCTAAACGATCCCGACCTTCTCCGTCTTCTTCACACGTGCCACAGCCGCAAAACGCACCTCCGTCCAAAAGTCTCGCGCCTCCCGAGCGGGCCAGCTGACCAGGCGCCCTTCCCACAGTCGGTACAGGGGCGGCGGCGACTACTACGGCCCGCCGGGCGCGCCGGCGCCGCCGCGCGAGTACGGCCGCGACTACCCGACGCCGCGTGAGTTCGCGCCACGCCCGCCGCCCGGCGCTGACTTCTTCGCGCCGGCGCCCAGCCCAGCCGCCGGCTTCTACAAGGGCGGCCGCGGCGCGTTCGCGACGGCCCGCGCGCGGCCCTACGGCCAGCAGCCGCAGCAGCAGCCGCGCCGCCGCTGCGCCCCTCATGGGCTACGACTCGGCGCCGCCGGCCGGCTGGCAGGAGGCCTTCGGACGGTGAGTGGGCGGGCGGCGCGAGCTGGAGGGCCGGCGCAGAGCGGCTGATGTGACGTGTGACGTGTGATGTGGCTGGATGTGGTGACTCCTCTCAGCGGCTTATGCACTGCGCGCGTGGCCCGCAGACAGTGATTCTGGACGCGATATTGCGCCGTGGAAGTGCACACCGAGCTCCTGTGCTCGGTGACGGCGGCATTTGTCCTTGTGTTGCACGTCGTCTGAGCCCGGGTGGGCTTCCCGTGACGCCGCCGTCTCGCCCGCCAGGTACGGTCCCGAGTACGGCGCTGAGTACCAGAAGTACCCGCCACAGCAGCCGGCGTACCCGCAGCACTTCAGCGTGTACCGCGCCGAGGAGCCGCGCCGCGTCAACGGCCGCTACCCGGCTGAGTATGATGAGGTGAGTGGCCGCTGCCGTCAACAGTCACTGGCTGTAGCTCCATGAAGGTGTTCAAGGACAAGGCGTAAATCCTTGAAATCTGTGTTGCGTGTGTTTTGAAGGACTGTCTAATCAGGACAGGACTGAAGGACTGTCGCAGACTGTAATCTGGCGCATAATTTTCTTGCACCATTGCAGAATGACCACAATATAGTCTCTCCTTCTAATTAACGCAACAACCACTGAAGCTTGCCGCCGTCGTCGCCGCCGTCGCCGTACCTTACCGTTTATTCTATGTCCGGCAGCAGTTCCGCGGCCAGGCCGGCGCCAAGCCGCCGCCCGGCTACCGAGGCCGGTACGAGCCCGAGTCGGCGGCGCCGCCGCCGCAGCTGGCCACTCGGCGCCGCTTCGAGCCGGCCGCCGGCGAGCGGCACGGCGCGCCCCGCGAGCCCTCCCTGCTGCAGCGCTACCGCGAGGAGGACCGGCAGCGGCGCGAGGCGCAGCGGCGCGAGGAGCAGCGGCTCGAGCGCGAGATGGCCGAGCGTGCCATGGAGGAGCGCGAGCGGCCGGCGCGCAGCGCGGAGCAGCGGCTCAGCCGGGCCTGGAGGAGAGGGAGAGGTCGGCGCACAGAATGGAGGAGAGGCGCGCTCGGGTCGCGAGGACGCGACCACTCGGGCGGGCGCGAGGAACGCGATCGCTCCAGTCGCGGCCGCGAGGAGCGCGATCGCTCCAGTCGTGGCCACGAGGAACGCGATCGCTCCAGTCGCGGCCTGGATGAGCGTGATCGCTCCAGTCGCAGCCATGAGGAACGCCCCAGCCGCGGCCAGGAGGAAAAGCACTCTCGGGAAAAACACCAGGCGCTGCGCGACGCCAAGGATGGCAAGAAGAAACACGAGAAGAAGAGAAGCCAAAAAAGAAACACAAGAAGGAGAAGGACGAGGTAGAGGACAAGAAGAAGAAAAAGGAGAAGACGAAAAGAAACGTGGCAAGGATTCGCAGGAGGCGTCGGAGACGCCGTCCGAGCACAAGTCGCCGGCGCCGGAGGAGAAGGAGACGGCGTCGCAGCGGGACGCCGCCGGCTCGCAAGAGCGGGAGACGCGCCCGCCGCTGCTGCCGCGTCCACTGCGCCGTCGAAGTCGGCCTCGCCACCGGCCCAGCCGACGGCCTCGCCGCCGGAAGCCCTCGCCGCCCCGGCCGGTGGCAGCCCGCCGCGGCCGGGCTCGCCGCGGCGCCGCTGCCGGCCGCCCCGCTCGCCGCCGGCCGCCAGCGGCTGGCGGCCGAGCCGCCGGCGCCGTCGCGCTGGGACAGGACGACTCGCCGTCAGCGACGCGCGCCGGCTGAGCGCGCGCCGCGGTCGGCCGAGCGGCGCACCGTCGTCAACAAGGAGACGCTGAAGCGCGCCGAGCAGGCGGTGCGCGGCAACCGACGCCGCGTCTACATCGAGCCGCCGAGCCCCGAGCGGCCGCCCGAGCCCAGCCTGCAGATCACCGTGCGCCGCGACGAGGCAGAGCGCCGGCCGCCGGGCCTGCGTAGCGCCGTGGAGCGGCCGCGCTCGCGCAGCGGCGAGCGCCAGTGGCGCGAGCGGCGCCCGCTCGGCCGACCCGACGAGCGCCGAGAGCGCGAGCGCAGGGAGCGCGACGAGCGCGAGCGCCGCGAGCGGGACGAGCGCGAGATGCGGCTGCGGCGCGAGCTGGAGCGCGAGCGCGAGAAGGCGGCGCTGGAGCGGCGTCGGCGCAAGGAGAAGTCGCGCGAGAGAAAGCGGCGTGACAGCCAGACGGAGGGGCCACCGGCGGAAGCACAAGAAGCGCCGCTCCGTCTCCGAGAGCTCCAGTTCCGAAGAGGAGGAAGAGGTCAGCCGCGATCAAAAACAGAAAGCCAAGTCGCCGGCGGGCCGCGACGGATGGGACGACGCCGGCTGCTGGCGAGCAGGCGGAGTCGGGCAGGCCGGCCCTTGAGCGGCCGAAGTCTTTCATCGACGAGCAGCACTTTGGAGCCAGACTACATGCGCCCGAAGAAGAAGGCGATGAGGCGGCGAAGAAGGACGCCCCGTCGGATGCTAAGCCGGCCGCCGAGAAGCCAAGAAGCGGCCAAGAAGCCGTCGAGAGCTCGGACGACTCGGACTCGAGTCCAGCGAGGACTCCGACTCGAGCGATCAGGCGAGGCGCAAGAAGCGCAAGAAAAGCGCCGTCGCGACTCGTCGGACAGCTCGGACAGCGAGCTTGAGAAGCGCAAGAAGAAGCGCAGCCATAAGAAGCGCGACGAGAAGAAGCGCAAGGACAAAAAGAAGAAGCGCTCGCGCAAGTGAGCGGCGCCGGCCGGGCGAGCTGCGGCTTCGAGCTGTGATAGCGAACTGCCGGCGCCGGCAGATCGCGTCTGTGTTGGTACGTCATCGTCCGTGGCTCGCCGTGTCGGGTCAGCCGCGCGCTCTGAGCGGGGTAACGATGGTTCCTGCGATGGTAAGGGCGGGATACTGGGTGCCGCGCAGCGGCTCTGACTGAGCCAGCCCGGCGGCGTCGTGTAGCGAAGCCCGTCTCACGTACAGAAGTGGGCGGAAATGGTGCTCATTGTTCGTGTGCGTGAGTGTTAATGTGTGTGGTGTGTGGGGTGTATATACATGCATATTGCATTGGTGGGTGTCTGTGTCGCCAGCCACACCTGTTAATAAATAATCAAAAGATCAGTGTGTGTGTGATGATTGGAACAATCGGTCTGAGGAAAACGCGCGAGCTCGAGGTGGACATCGACCCGTCGGGGCTTATACAAGTCACCATTGAAGGGGCAAGTGGAATAAGTTAAAAGGAAACACCCTGACATTTGGGTTAAAGGCCTGGGGATTGGCTGACCCATCCACAGCTCGCACAAGCGGTAAGCAACTCTGGCGTCGGGCTTATGGGGGGCTCTAGATATCAGGCGTACAACAAACAGCGGGCTCCCCAGACGCAAAGACCGGAAGCCTGCCTGAGAAGAACGTTGGGACAGAGGCGCAACGCTACTGTCCCTTCCTCAGCTGTCATGCAAAGTCGGCGTCCTATAAAGACCGCATTAAGAAAGTGGGGCAACAGACGCATCCACTTTATA